TTAGAAGTGTAATTTTCTTTTCTAAACAAGTCTATCTCAAATTAACAACTAAACTTTGTGATTGAAATCTTTTTTATCTTGCTACAGTAATTTATCTTATATAAATAATATTTAAAGTCATTAAATCACTTTCAAGCTTTCGTAATCTTGTAGTTGCATTTATCAAATGATTTTGATTTTGCTTTATGGTTTACTCTTCCTTATATTTGAGTGAGTTTTTCTTCTCTAATATCTGGAAGATATTCTCATAACTGAGAGTATTTAAAAGTTTCAAAATGGATCTAACTTGTAAAATGACAAGCGACATAAAATGAGCCCAAAAAGATAAAAAATTGAAAAGATGCACAATGATCGCCAAAAAATTGAAAGATACACAAAGTGTATCAAAAATTAAAAGATGTGCAAAGTATGTCATTCAATTGACAAGAGGCATAAATTGAGCTAATAAGAAAGAAAGCTTCATTCTCTTTCAAACTTTTAAATCTTTGAAGAATTCATGTGTCACTTGATATTTTTAATGGCTTAATTTTGAAATTCATGATTGTGACTAATTACTTTAGTATATTATTTTATAAGATTTTTTTTTAAACCAAGTTTTGAACGGATCACTTTTTTCTTATCCAATTATTTTTTCTGAGTTAGATCTTTGTTTTCAAAGGATGGTTTACCTATAAGAAGTTTGAGTGAGCGTTAATAAGATTAGTTGTTCTATCATTTTTTTTTATTTCAACGATGTTAACTCATTTTATTACAAATTTTTATTTTAATTACATGGACAAGTTATTATATTCGTGCTTTAATAAAAAAAAAAAAAATTTGTTCGTTCTTTTTTCAGCATTTTTACAGTCTTTTTCCTGATTTAGTTTTTACTGTTATGTTTTTCTTTTTTGTTTTCATCTTCCTTTTTGTGATGTCGAAAGGGGGAGTAGTAGTAGTGTTTGTGTTGTAATTTAATATTTTTAAATGTTTTTCCTATGTTGCCAAGTATTTTGGTATTGTTCTTCAAGAAAGGTTTAACATTGAGGTTTCTAAGTTGATTTACTGGATTACGCCTCCTCAAAACATGTTCAAGTTAAATAGTAATGGCTCTATCAAAGAGAACTCTTGAGGTTATTGTGGCATTATTAGACATTATAATGGGAATTTTTTTATTGCCTATGCTAGACCTTTACGTAGATGTTAGGTAATTTTTACTTAACTTTCTGCTATCATATGTGGTTTCAAATTATATTCTTACCTAGGTATTGTTAATATTTGGATTGAAGTTGATGCTTTATATATGCTTTTTTTCTCAAAGATAGTGATGAGAAGATTTGTAGTCCTAAATTATTCTATTTACTTAGGAAAATTAATCAAGTTTTTATTTTATGTTAATGTCATGTTGACTGATATTCATAGAGAAGGAAATGCTTGGGCTGATTGGTTGGATAATCACGGATCTATTCTCTAATTTCTTACTGAGTTGCCTTATAACCAGCTGACTTCCTTTGTTAAAGGTGTTATTAGGTTAGACAAGCTTGGTCTTCCTTATGTTAGATATTAATTTAGTATTTTTTATTTGGAAGAAGAATGGGGATAAATTTTTGCATTCTTTTTTTTTTTTTTTTTTTTTTTTTTTGTATCTTACTTTTAGCGGTGCTTATTTTTTTCGGTGTTTATCTTAAGATATGGAATTATCATGGTTTTTGTTTTATTCTTTTTGGGTATGATTTTATCTCATTGAATGATAGTGATAGTCACACTTGCTGCTCTTCTCTTGCTTTCTTTTGTGAAAGAGGAAGTTGTCATATTTTGGATATTGGCTTGTTTATGTTTTTTTTATCTGGTCTTTTGTCTCATTTCTTGCATTTCTCTTGCTTATCATTTCTTGGGTGCTAGTGGGTGTTTCAAATTTATAGATTTTTGTTTGCTCTTGTTTTATATTTATCTTATTTAGCGTTGTCAGTGGTTACTGGGGACTGATTTGGTGTTCTTTTCTTTTGATTGGGAGAAATTTCTATCATCTTTGGTTTGGTGTTCAGCTAAATCTTAGTTTGGATGTGTTTTTGGGCACTGTTAGTCGGATGATTTCTTAGTGTTGTACTAGCTCTAACATTTCTTTTTTTTTGTGGAGTATTAACTGGCTATTCATGAAAATTGAGCAGCAAATGGGCTTTTGGCTTAATAATTTTTTGGATACTACAGACCTGAGCCAGAATCCATTTTTTGTTTAGTATTTTGGTTTTCGTGTCAGGTTTATTTTTCTTATTTTTGGGTGGTTTTGCTATTGAGGCAACTAAAAAGTTAATTACATTGAATATGATGAATATGTTACCTTTAGCCATGAGTTTTTGTACTGGTGAGCTTTATAATTTACACTATATTGATCTTTGTGGCCCTTTTCTGATCTTTATCATTAATCAAGCTGTTTTGTTGGATAGAAATCATTTTGTTTATTTGGTATGTTCTTATGATATCTTGAGTATTACTAGCAGCTTTATTTCTCTTTTCTGGGTGTTTCTAGCTGTTCATATCTATATTCCTATCAGGTTCAATACTATTGAGAATCTGGGCTTACTCCTAAATACTGCCTTATTGGGTTATTTGATAGCTAACTTCTTTTTTTCTAGATTTTAATGGATCTGAATATGAATATATGTTTAAGAGCTGTTATTTATTCCTTAGTGACATTTTCATATTTTAGATATTGTGTTATATCCTTCTCCTTTCATTTTAATATTAATTCTAATAATGTTATCTTCACTAATGAACTGAACTTTAATTACAAAATTTAAGTTTGCTTCTGCTTTTTTCCTTGTGTTGCTCCTACTATTTTGTACATTTCTATTAGTGTTTTGTTGCAAGTTCCTGACTTTTTTGGGTAGAGAGATCATGCATAATGTTTGTTAGTTGATCTTTCAACTTTTTATAGAATGTTCCAAGGAAATTTTGTAAATTTGATTAGTAGGGATTTTGAGCTAATAGGGTTTTCTTTTATTTTTCTTGTGGCTCCTATGAGTAGTAGTTAGCTCGAGGTTTTTTTAAGGACCATGTAATATTTTCTTTTATCAATGTGTAGATCCATTTGTGTGTTTCCCCTAAAAAAAGAAACCTAAGAAAGAAAGAAACAAAGTTAGAATGGGTGACCTCCTAGGAAGTCCTAATGCTGCACCCCTTTTTTTGAATTAATGTTTAACATCTATATTCTCTATTTTTTTTCTCTGGTGATTCTATGGCGACTATAGGGTTCCCATCTCGGAGCTAATTTCCTCACCATCATTGATCGTATTTTACTATATTTCTATATTCCTTTTCATATTCGATTTGTTCGTGTGATTTTGTGATTTTGTTTTGATTCTTTTCGGTTACTTGTGGTTTTTGGGTGATGATGACGCCATTGTCATCATACCCTAAAAGTCTAGATCTTTTAAGGAAATGTTATTTTCAAAATTGATATTTCTAAAGATTGTGATAATCTCAATTGGGAATTAATTTATACTTTGTTTATTTTTTTTTTTTTGAATGATTTTTTTTTAGGATTATTAAGAATAATATTGAACATTGTTTCTTTTTTATTATTATCAATGGCAAGGGCCATGGTTTTTTGGACTCTTCTCATGATCTCAGGTAGGGGGATCCTCTTTCCCGTGCTTTATTTATTTTGGCGGCGGAGCTTCTTCCAATAGGTCTTAATGGTATTTTTAGGAAATATCCCACTACAGTGTCATATTATTGGTGGTTTCCCTTTGTCTCATTTAAGTTTTCCTAATAATATTATTATTTTTGCTAATGGTTTAAGAAAAATGCTTAATAGCCTTTCTAGGTTTCTTTATCAATTTGAAAAAGCTAGTGGGTTCATTTTTAATCCCCTAAAAAATTATTTTATCACAACCAAGTTTATCTCCAATCAGAGAATTAACTTTATTCAGAATAGTTTTATTTTTTGCATAGGAATCTACTCCTTAAATACTTGGGCACTTTTCTTTTCAAGGTTATGAAGAGATCTCATTTATTTGGGGACATTTTTTTTAGTATGCACAAATAGCTTTCTACTTGGGCCTTTACTTTTCTTTCTTTCTGGGGTAGATTAGTGTTAATTAAGAGTGTTCTTGGTTCTATTCCTATCTATTTATTCCATACTTTAAATTTGATTGTGAATGTTTATAGTAGGCTTAAAAGAATCTTCAACAAATTTCTTTGTGCAGCCAAAGAGGGTAAATCTGCTATTTTATAGGCTTCTTGAGATAAATGTTCTTGTGTCCAAGATAAAGGTTAACTTGGTTTTAAGAACTTGGGTGACATGGCTCTTGGTTTTCCTTATAAACTTTAGTTCAATTTAAGGTCTAAAAAGACCCTTTGGGCTAATTTTATGTATGATTATAAATATTCTGTTGGCAAATATCCTCTTAACTACTTTTTTCAAAAAAATTGGCACTCTTTTAATTGGAAAAAGGTTATGCTCCATAAATGGGAAGCTGAGAATTTCATTCGATAGGGGTTGGGGTGGAGTGATATCTTTTTTTGGCAAGACAATTTGTTAGGTTATTCTTTCATTGATAATTTACTTAATACCCATACTACTAGTGCTTGTAAAGTTGCCGATTTTATTCAAGATGGGGCCTGGAATGTGATGTCTTAGTGAAATGGTGCCTGATTTTTTCATCAATGTCATTTTGAAAGTTCCTCTTCAACTTGATAAGAATGATTGTATTTTGTTTAATATGTCAAACGATGGGAGCTATGTTCAAAGATGCTTAGCATACTATTATGTACTTGCAACCTAACTCTCATATTTTCTCATCCATTCAGAAAAAAGGTATTCTGGTCTCTTATTCTCTTTTAATTTGGAGAACTTTTAATAATTACATTCCGGTGGATACCATTCTAATCAGAAATATTTTTATATTGTTTCAAAATTCCAATGCTCCTATCATATTGAAAATTTGAACCAAATTTTTGCTAATTGCCCCTTTGCTCTCAAAGTATGGTTGTATTTTGATAATGTTTTTACTACCCAATTTTGTAAGGACTTTATCAACCTTAAGAATTTCACACAAGATTGGTTTATTCTTTTTAAATGTCATATTCGTGTTATTTTACTTATTATTATTTGTTGGTTCCTTTGAAAAAGTAGGAACGAGTCGAAGAATGAGAACATTACTATGAATTCACTGACCATTATCTATAAAATTATGGGTAAAGTGAGACAATTCTATTTGGCTAATTTGATCAATAGAGATTTTTTTAATGGCTTCTTTTAAATTGCTGAGCATTTTGGTATTAATATTTCTGCTAATATCCATACTCCTAAAGACATTACTATTAGATGGATTAAACCTCCTCATGGTTCTACAAACACAATAATGATGGGTCTTTTTAAAATTTGAAAGCTGGATGTGGTGGTTTCATATGTGATTTTAACGCTCAAATTATTGTGGCTTTTGCAGGTCCCTCGGATGTCCATACTACTATTGTGATTGAAATTCAAGCTTTAAAGTATGGTTTACAATTATGTATTTCTTTATAGATTACTAATATTTACATTGAAGTTGATGCTATGATTGTGATTTATTATATTACTGATAAAATTAATGTTAATCCCTCTTATTTCTATATCATTAGAGAAACGCAATGGCTGTCGCTTATCAATTTTTCTAGAACTCACATTTATAGGGAAGGCAGTGTTGCTGTTGATTTTTTAGCTGACTTGGGTTGTAATTTGATGAATTTCGTGGAATATATGGGGTCCTCTCTTCCTACCAAACTTGTGGGGATGGCTAGCTTGACCGTTTGGGACTTCCTTATGTTAGAGTCAATTATGTTCTACCTTAGCCTATTTGCTATTTTGTTGTGGTCTTTGTGCTTTTTGTCATATTTGTTTCTTTTGGTTTTATTTACTTATTTAATATATGAGTGGATTAATCTAAATTTCTTTACTCCTTATGTTGTTGTTTTTTCCTCAAGGTGGCTCTGCCTTTTATCTTTATCAGTTTGGGTCCATGCTATTATCAAAATGCTCTTGGTTTTCCTTTTTAATTTCAAGTTTCCCTTTTTTGTCCACACAGCTGACCTGTTTACTCCCCACTCACATATCAAGCATGGTTGGAAGGAGTATGATATGAATGACTTGTATCATTTCTAGG